ACTTTTCTTGTTTAATTATTTTTTATATCAAAATTTGATACTTGTGTATATATCTAACGTTAAAGCCAAATAAATTAGGTGATATATGTATCTTGTAAAAAATAAAACATCTGTTTTATATATCTAAAGTATCGTAATAAAAAACTTAAAAATTTATACTCAAATTTTTGTGATAACAATGGTTTTCAACCTGAGTTGCATGGAATTCTTAAGATCCCAGGGAGATAGGTAGGTGTTAACCAGTAATTACTACTATGTTACCCATACTTACAATATATGTACATTGAATTTTTTAATTAAAAATTAGATCACTGATGTAAAAATTGTATTTTCAAACTGATTTCTCACAAGGTGCCTCCATGCACTATGATAAACAGTACTATATGTTAATCACTTTACGTTACGTTGCATTGCGTTGCATTACATTGCGTTACGATGCTTAAAGTTATTTTACGTTACGTTGTGTTTTATAAAGTTTCATATTATTTTAAGCTAATGTATATATGTATGTATTTCGTTTACATTAAAAAAATTTAAACCAAAAAAATCTAACAATGATGAAACTTATTAAAGTGTAACATGCAATATGTATATAGACATACAAGGTAATATTTTTGTATGGAGACAATTTTTACAACCCAACAAATTCCGGGTTACAATAACTTAAAGGCAATCTGGACTTTTTTATATTTTGCAAAATATTATGTATAACCTTTTGACTGTGTCAGCTAGGTTTACGATTAATATAATTTAAAAGCCTCACGGTATTTCTCACGAATTTTTAATTCAGTTGTAATATATGTCTATTAACTCTTATCTTCATCAGTTACAATCTTAATACTATAGAAAAATTTAATTTTTCATTTTTCATTTTTAAAATACGTCAATTTTTTCGACACCTTTCCTTAATTTAAGCACAGATTGAAACCCTGTTAACTGGACTTTCATTTGGTATATTATCCATCTTCCTACAGTTATGATTTAAGAATTATTAAGAAAATACAGCACTGCAAATAATGTTAATAATAAAACGAAGAATATTATATGGAATTCTTTGCTAATAAGGCCCTGTAAGTCAGTTTTAATTTCAACATTCTTTTGATAAAACAAGTTGTAAATGAACCCCTAATGTTCCAGATTTCGAAAAAAAATCTTGAAAGTGGTATTTAAAATAATTAAAGTCATATTAGAAACTTAAAAACCTTTTATCATCGAAACCCTTAAGATATAAAACAATTTTAATAAAAATTTGTTCCTCTTTAATATTTCAAAATTCTTGAAAGCGAGAAATTTCACATTGCGAGATAAATATAGTAGTTTCATTAAACTTTATATTATATAATATATGTTTAACTTTGAGTAGGTTAATAAAACTTTGATATCATATGTACAAATTAAAAAAAAAAATACTTTTTTTGCTTTTTTTTTCTTTTCTCATTTTTTGTTTTTGGAAACTAGCTTCTCCTTTTTCCATTTTTAAAAAGAAATTTCTTTCAAGATGTGTGAGTGGAATAATTTACACTACTGGTACATTCCAAAACTTTGCATAGCACAAACCTTGGATTGTTCACCAAGTGATTAAAAAATTGTATGTGAAATTACACTTTTTTTGCTATTAGACTTTTAATTATTTTTAGATGGGAAGCAATGTTAACTGATTCGATCAATCATTAACACTTTAAAATTGTTTTATAATTGAACGAATTTCAAAATTTTAATACAAATTAAAATTGCTGCCATTTAAAAACAAAATAATTAAATGGAGAATTAATATTTTGATTTTAATTTTAAATAATTAATAAAAAAAATTATTTTAAAATTACAAAAAAAATAATTGCGTTTATCATCAAATTGAGCTCTTTTTGTCATGATTATTAAGCAAGAAAGAAAATTTTAAATTTCTGTCGCATATTTAATTAACACTAAATACATATTGTCTGTTTACTTTTCTTATATATATATATATAAATATATATATATATATAACGAGCATGTAATTTAAATAAACATCACTAATTCTGAGATTGTGAGAAGAAATTAATGAACTTGAATTTTATAAATTTTCTGATGCTAAAAGTTGGTTTTTTTCTGTTCTCAGTTTCGCTTATTGTTTCACATTTCATTTATCAAAATTTATTATTCTAAGATATTAATGTTTTTTTTGCTTTTTATTAATTTTTTACTAAAACAAGAAATACAATAATATTTTGTGAAGTGCGTAGGAAGTTCTTAAATACATTTCTTGTAGAAATGAAAAAAAAAATTGTAGACAAGTCTGAACTGACATAAAAAAGTATTATTTGTATCGTATACACGTAGCTAGTTCCCATAAATGAATTTAATATTTTCTGTGCGCTTTCAACATAATGTACGTACATATTATTCATTTATGTATCTACTTTCTATGAAATCTGTTCAAAAAATCTAAAATTTAACAAAGAAAAAAGCAGAGAAAAAATTTAACAGGAAAAAGTATAGAACGATGATTTTATTAGGATAGGAAATTGAAAAGGTCAACAATAAAATAAAAATTTTTAGTCGTAAGATTGCAACAAATTCATCTTTACACAAACCAGGAACAAAGAGAATTACAATGCAGACAGATACTTATTTACGTTCGTACAATTAAATAAATATTTTATATTATATTTTAAATATGTACCTACATATACACATATTGCATATTACTTGGTACGAATACTTATGGACGTACATATGTATGTACATATTTATATACCCCTCTATTATGAACATCGGTATCGGCCGATATATTATCGGCAGTTCTCATCGGTTTTGGGTTTCTTCTGTATTATGAACCGATACCGATAAAAATATTTCAACCGATTAAAAGAAGCTTTTTCATACAAATTTTTGTTTTTGTAAATTGGAGAAAATGTTTTTTTTTCTAATGACATTTGTTTTCTTTCAAAAGTTATTTTCAAAAAATTTTTAAAACTATTTTGAATTTGGTTTTGATGTGCTAAAAAGTTGTAGTAAGAAAATTATTTTCTGTTAAATTTGTAAAATAAAAGTATACATATATCGGGAAAATGTCACGTGCATTATATTTTGAAAGTGAAGAAACGGTAGTAAGTGAAGAAACGCAAGCTATTCAAAGACGACATATAAGAGATTCAACTAATCCATTGGATTTAGACAACAAAATGTATGTTTATGTACCTATTTTATTTTATTATTTATATAATATGTACACATTTTTTAGGTTTATCCAGAATTTCAGATTATCATTCCTTGCCAGGTTTAAGTCCTCTTCCATTTTTTCTACTAACCGCGCAATTTGTTTTTTGTTGCTTACGATTTTACTCCTAAATAAAATATATGAATAACATTTTGAAAGAAAATAATTTAGAAAAAATGCTTACATTTTAAAAAAGCAATTAATTACACCAGTTTCCTTGATAAAATGAAGATTTTACAAAAAAAAAATCTGTCGTCTAAAAATTTGTACCCGCTTTTAAATCGGTGAAAACCCGACAATTTATCGTTTTCATAATACCAGCTAATACGTTTCCTATACAGGGAAAAAAAGCTTTCCCGACTCCGATAAAATTTACCGATAAACAATGTTGGTAATACAAACACAAAATTTTGCCGATAAATTATCGTTTATCGGCCGATACCGATATACATAATAGAGGGGATAGTAAATTATAAAACTTTTGGCTCTAAAGCAAATTCATATTGATAAATATTGTATTCAGTTATAATACAATAAAATGATTTTATTGGCATTTAAAAAATTTTACGAAAAGAATAGGTTAAAATTTCAACGTAGAATCTAAGAAATTAGGAAAGAAATTTAAAAAGGAAAAAAAAAACTATAAAAATCTTAAGGTGACAATTTTTATTTGTTGTAAAGTGAAATAAAGTAAGAAAGCAAAGTGAATTAAAGTATTTCCAAAAATCATATTGGTACGCACAATTTATTTATGTAGGTATTATTTTGCACATCCATATTTATATGTAGATATTCTCTTATAATCTTATTTTCCAGATAAATACATAATTATTAAAGCATGAAAAATTTCTAATAAAAATATTAGCTTTTCGCCTGTAAATATAAATTTGACCTAAAAAAAATGAATTATAAATTATTAAAATATAATAACCCAATATTAACCCTCAGTTGGGGGGGGGGGGGTTCTATAAATAAAACTGTATTTTTGGTTGTTCAAAAAAAATTGATTTTTGTACGTAATGTTCAATAGTAAAAAAAAAAAATTATCTAAAATTTTTCTTTTACTTCTCTCAATAAATTTAAATTGAGTGATTTTGAACTTTTCTACTATTTATATTATTATAGTCAATAATAATATAATTTTATCAACTCGGTTAAAACGTTTGAATTCTAAGGTTAAACATTTTCAAAGAATTGTGTTAATCTTTAAAATGTTTTCTCTTCTACAAGCCGGCGGAAAAATAAAATAAAATATTTTTGTGGTTTTTTCTTACATCTTACGAAAATTTTCCCCTCTAGAAACGATTTATGAGTTGAATGTTCTTATTCTTTTATTTCTACTTTTTGTTTTTTTGTTTTTTTTAGAATCAAATTTAGCTCAATGGCTCATCACATTCATTAATTTATAATTTGTTTCCCAGTTGTCATTTCACGTTGTTTTTTATCATTTTAATATGTTATGAAATTAGTTAATTCTTTTGATAATGAATGACGGGAATCATCATATTATAAACGTGATACACCATAATTCAATATAATTGTTTAAAAAATATCTGGAATTTTCCAAATTATAGTCATATTTTTTATGATTTTTCTTTCTTCTTAAAGAAAAAAAAGTTATCACGGATCGTAATATTATGTTAAGTTTTTTTACTTTGCATAGATAAGAAAATGCATCTTATTTAAATGTTAGTTAATAGTCAATTTTCTAGGAGTCACTTTTTTCAATTTTTATCAACGACATACTGAAATTTTTTAATATTAATTCTCATAAAATTTTTTAATTTATTTCTTTATTTAATGTATGTAAAGAATACACCAATATATTATTTCATAGTTTTAATCTACAAAAAATTTAAAATTTTATAATAATTTTCATCTAGCTAAAAATGTATGCCTCATAAAATAATATTAAAATAACAATTAAAATTATATAAACAAAAGTTACATCGAAATATACATATTATCTATAAATATAATATTGATAGTTATTCATAATATAAAAGTACTTTGGTTTACAAGATTATTATTCTTAAGTTTTTATGGTTTTTTAAATTTTCTTCAATTATTATTGTATTTTTCTATAAAATTCATATTCCCTAAAAGATTACTTGTTACATTATAAAACTGTTTACTTAATCTGATCCAACATTTTATTTAATTCCTAAACTATTACCTATTTCATGTTCGTATTGTTATTCGAAACAATGTGATTCAATCATTATTTTAAATACTTTATATTAATGTATAAAAAATGTAATTTTAAAACTGGTAGTTGATATTTTTTAATTATGAAAAATTGTTTGTCCGTATTATGCTGAGGAAATTTAACAACGATTAGTTGATACATTTTAAGATAATTAAGAAACCGTCGAACAAAATTGATTTCCAAAAAACGTTTACAAATGGTTCTTTTACGGATTAGTGGATTAGTTTAATTGAACAAAACCGAAGGTCGTTTTGCACCTTTTGTTCTGTAATTAAAAATATCAACTACCTGTTTTGCTTCCAAACTTATAGTTAATAATAATTGTTATGTGCAATTATTATTAATCCTTTTTACAATTTATGTGATTTTTATGATGAATTATTATTAGGTGAATCAAACACATCCAAACTATACACAATAGGCATTGGCTCTCGTCTAGATTGTTTAAAAAAGAAAATAAAATTAAAAAAATGTAATATAAAAAATTAAAAATGTTATAGACAAAGCAGTTTTAACATAAAAATTGTTGCCGGCTTTTATTAAAATATCAATGTATGCATATTTAATAAGTTGTGTATTTATAAAATTTTAAAGCATTATATTTATTTTAAATATCTATCCATTTAAAAAATCGATAAACTGTTAAGTTTAACAGGATAACCTTCTTTTAAATGACAACAATATTATCAAAATCAAAATTAATTAGAAAACTTTCTACATAATTATAGTATTTTTTTAATATTCAATGGAATACAGTCACCACTTACAAATTAATTACAATAGTAGTAGTAAGTTATTAAGAACAAAAAATTTAAGTTAAAATTTAATTTAATAAAAAATACATGCAAATTAAAAAAAAAAAAGAAATAAATGAAATCATTTTATTTTACAATAATAAATGTAATTTTTAAATAAGAAAATGCAAAAGAACATGTATACAACTATTTAAAAAAAGATAAAATAATTAAAATTTAAACAGAATTCTTGTTAAAGTAATCTAAAATTTAAAGAAAAGATATTAAGAAAGACGTTCTTCTAAAATTGTACAGTTTTTTGAAATTGCAAGCTTTATTTAAGAGACAAATTTTGTTCTTATCAAAATAACGTAAAAGTTTAGAAAAATACACTTATACATACATATATGCATATAAAAGTTTTAACCACAAACAGAGTATTTTAGAAAGATTCGAATACTTCTTTTCTCAGTTTGCCTTAGGGTTTTGCGTACATTGACACATGTTAATACTTTTCGTTCCAATATTATATAGCTTTCTCAGAACTAGAATTCGTGAAGATGTAGTACAATAAAAAACAGAATGTTTCCTTTAGTAATTTCGAATTCCTTTAAAAATATGATAAATAACCCAACAAAACACAAGAAGTAATCTGAAGCAATTTTCTAACTATATATAACTTTCTTAAGCTAATATATGTATGTATGCGTGTATACATGGTCTATGTTATTTATAATTATAACTATGTGAAATTTTATTAAAGCATATTAAAAAAATATGGCAAGTGATATTTCGTATTTGCATAAAATTTAAGATTAAAATACTTTTTTGCAGGCTAAATACGTATATATAGAAAATTTTTTTATTTATTTATATTTATGTGAATTTGCATAATTTTATGTCTTGCTAATATACATATTTCTTTTAATACGAGATATCATATATCCTGTAGCAAAACTATTATGAACTTCAGAATTTCTACAAAGCACATTGATGAGCTATGAGGTGCCGATTCATTTTATAAAAAAAAATGGAAAATTTGCAAATACGTATTATAACTTGCCTTAAAAATTAAATTATATCTCATTTTTAAAGTGTAAAACTTAAAAATAATATATAATTTTAAACGTTAGAGTAAATTAGTAAAACAATAGATAAAATTTTAATGTTTTAAATTGTTTATAATATTTATACACAACAAAACTTTTGAATCCTCCGCCACAAAAAAAGCAAATAGCGTTACATTTCATCATTTTAGAAAATTAAAAGTATTATATATTACTATAATTAACCTAAAATTAAGCTATTTAAGTCTAAAAAGGCTTACAAAAATAAATACTTAAATAACAACGAAAATTATTCTGATAAACAAACAAACAATTTGTATATAAAAAAAAGTGATGTAATGTAAATTATAAAGAAAGAAATTGAAAAGCATACGTTGTATTTAAATAAAAATCAAACATATGTATGTGTATAATTAAATTATTTAAGAAAAATTAGTGTTTATAATACAAATGTGAAAAAAAACTGTCAACTTTTATATTTATGTAAAACCTTTGTTCAGTTTATTTTGTTCTTTAGGTTCTTAAAATTTCATTCTATTTCTTTAGTTTCTCATATTTGAATTAACAGAAGCATTTATTATTTATTTTTTTATATATAAATGTTATTTTTAACTCATAAAGTTTTTTTTTAAATTAAATTTCTAAAATATTTTGTTTTTATTGTAATTACATATATTTGCAACCATTTGCATTTCTTCATAATTGTTAAAAAAAAAAAATTTTAACCAGCTTTTTGAGTTTGTTTGATAGCCTTTTGATAGGCTTCATAAGCTTCGATTTCTTTCTTTTCTTTCTTAGTATTTCTTGTTTCGTACTCTAATCTATGACTAATTATCCTTTGAACAATTTTTTCTGTTGTCATATTGTTTTCAGAATCGATCAACAAAAATTTTCCTAACGTCTTTGGTATAGCATATGGATCAATGTTACCGTGATCTAATGATATTGGAGTTTGACCATGACACACAACATCAACCTTAAAGTGTTCCATTAAATCCTTCGTTACTGAATACGGGGCACCAATAACAACTTCATTAACATACTAAAATTATATTTAATATTGAAAAAAATTTAAAGTATCAAAAATAATATATATAATACTTTGCAAGCAAGTACACTTAAAGTTCTTTCATGCAAATTCATTATTGGGTAATTACTGCCTTTATAACGATTAACAACTGGATCAGTATGTAATCCAACAATCAAATAATCGCCGTACTGTTTTGCTTTTTCAAGGAAATCTAAATGACCCACATGGAAAAGATCAAAAGCACCAGCAACATAAACCTTTTAAATTAAACAAAAAATACATATATACATTAATTTTACTTTTAATTGTATCTACATAAATTATTATTTGCTTACATTTAAAATTTAAAATTCAACTTACTATTTTATCTCCAGACTTCGGCGCTTTACCATCACTGAACTGTATAATTTTTTGGGTTGTGGGTAAAAACTGACTGCAACCAGTCCAAGGACTTCGAGCTGCTGAGTCCTGACCCATATTTGACGAACCTAACGGTGATTTTATTCGTTTGGAATATTTAAAATTGTCTATTTTTTGATTTTTATATTCAAACATATATTTTACATAAAATGTTTTTGAAAAGTGTAATTATAACAAAAGAGGAGAAGCAAATAAAAATCATAAGAGCGTAAAATAAAAAAAAGGGCAGAAATGATCAGAAAAAAAATATATTAATACATAGGAAAAAAAAATTGAATTAAAAAAATAAAGGAAATTGTTTAAGAAAACAGGACAATATGAAATATACACAAACAATAAACGTAAAATGAATTTGACACAAAGTATTGAAGTAAATCTTTGGAATATTTTTTTATAGTATAAAGACAATGCATGCAAACAAACAAACACATTTCTACAACAAATTAATTATTTCACGTGTAAATTTCAACACAAAAATTTTCAATCATAAAACTTATAAGACATACATATAAACACTAAGTTATCTAATAACGAAACTACAATAAAAATATGTAAATATGAAATAACCAAAACGCTTACACAAAAGTAAGTCAACATTTTAAGAATATAAAACTCAATAAATTTCGCTTATTTGTTTATATATATAAATACACACACGAGTATTTTATAAAAACTTACCTTCTTTCTCTATACAGTATTCGTTATTGCCTTGTCTGAAATGATTTCTAGTCATTAAAAGCATTCGGCCTACAAGATCTGTTGTTGAGATTCCAGCTGTACGTGACACTTCCCTAAAACAGAAAAATATTCAAGCATATTATTTTTTGAAAAGAATAATTTTTAATAATTATAAGAAATAGTTTTTAAATATGTAATTATTGTATTTGCAAAAAAAATATTTCTTACTTATAACGATTTGCTTCTTTAACCAAATGGTAAGTATCAATTCCATCTGCTGTCATTGTAATATCATCTGGAATTTATAGGATATGAAATGATATTTTCCGTATGTAAGGTATTCTATTCTTACAACTTACCACCATGGACGCAAAAATCACAATCATATTTATCTAATGTTTCCAATGTTGTTACATAGGGAGCACCTTCAATCACTTCATCTACCCATTTAATACCACGAACCATTTTGTATCTAATCAAAAAATTAAATAGTATTGAAAATTACACAATAAAAGGGATATTTTAAAATTCACTATATTTACATATCAGTAAAATAAATTTATTACTGAATGCTTGAAATTTTTAAAAATTTTACCTCTCTTCTTGCGTGAATACTGGAGGACCTTTATGTTTTGTAATTTCTTCGTCTGTATGAACTCCAACAATTAATTTATCACCAAGTGCCTTCGCTTGACGTAAGGAATTCGCATGACCAAAATGCACCATGTCATAACTACAAAAAAAGAAAAAGTAGTAGTTTTTGAACAGAATACAAAAATTTCATATTAAAATTTTGGATGAAAAGTCTTATAAACCTTTCACGTGTTAATTAAACTTAAGAAAAAATCAGTTGAAATTACTTCTTTCATAGTATATCCTATTTTCTCCGACTAAGTGTCAGCAGATGGTTGATGAAAAAAAGAAATTGATTATGGTCTCTTAAACTTGGCATAACCTTCCACGTCTTAAACTTTTCGTGATGGAATATTTTCTCTGAATTTTTATAATAGAACTCATTTTTTTCTCGGAAATTCATGTTTTCCTTTTTAGTACGCAAAAAATTATATTAAGGATACAACGTTTACCAGGAAGCAATTCAGAAAATTTTTGAATTGTTAATGACACACTAATTGCTCATGATGCACATAATTTGAAAGTGCTTTATAAAGAAATTAATAAATTTAGTGCTTTATAGAGATAAAAATTAGCCATTTTAAATGCGCTTTTCAGAAATATTTCCACATAAAGAGTATTACTTTGAAGAACAAGTCTTGTTATAAATACCAATAAATTAATAAATCTTGTTATAAATACCAATAAGTATTTTTAAAAAATCAAAGACTGTTTTATTTAGTTGCCCTAAGATCAAGAATAAAAGTCAATTAAAATTTTTGAATACTGTTAGTATGTCAATTAATATTAAAAAGAAAACTGTGATTTGGTGAGCGACAATTATTCTATCAAAATAATTGCATAACACAGAATTGTCTTAGATAGCGAAACAAAGCTTTTGTCTTTAAAAAACCATCAAAAATGGACAACAATATTCAAGAATTTTTTAATAATTTTAAATGCCTTGAAAATAGAGTGTTCGAAAGTTCACTTTAATTCAACAATTTTAAAATTCTAAATCAATGTACAAAGACATGTAAACAACTTTTATGAAAAATCAAAAAAAAAAGAAAGAAAATCAATAGAATTTTGCATTAAATTCTTTTTATTAAAAATCAATTAATTTTAAAAAATCATTGACATGCATCAATTAAAATGTAAGCATGAAATATGAATAAAAAGAAGCAATAATAAATCAGAACAATAACACTAACGTATTTTTATTTGAGAAACATGTGAAATTATCAACTATTTTAAGGAAATCAACATTTTTTCTCTGTTCTGCTTGACATTCTGATTAGAAACGCGTGTTTCATAAAGCTTTGCAATCCCTTTTTTTGTTTTTTAAATTGTGCCTTATCGTCACAAAAAAAATATTTTAATGCTTAACTGTTACATATTATTATAAAATATGGAGGTCAATAGCTCAATAACGTTATTAGAAAAAAAAAACATAAGTTATCTTCAAAATTAAACATACAAAACAAAAAAACTAACATTTTCCTTAGCATATCCGGGTTATAGGTATCATTTTGTATATATGTATGTACTTATAAAATGAGACCATAATAAACTTCACAGGGGATAAGCAGAATGATTGGCGATTGTGGTTTCCGATATTTTTAGAATTTATTGGACCTATTAATAAAATTTTGATTTTGGTTCTGATTTAATAGTTATTATTTATCATTCTATTGAATGGTTAATAATAACTGAAACAAAATTAAAACAGAAAATGGCATCATTAGAAAAAAAAATTATAAGCAATTCTAATATGTTGAATAGTAAAATAATTTAAACATGGAATAACAATTACCACATTCTAGTAACTAATTACGGCTTAAGCAGTAATTAATTTTAAATAATAATTATTGGATTAAAATAGTAATTAATTATAGGTTCTATATTGAATATGAGAGATACAGTGTGTCTAAATCTAGAATGATCTGGTCAAAACGCAAAATTTTCAGATCCTGAAATTAAGAAAATATTCTTAATACAGAGTTTTCCAATAATAGGGGCAATAAAATGTTCATTTCCAATATGTATGTATATTTGTACATATATTTTTTAAGTTTCAACATATTGGATAAAAATTTTTTTAGTGGAATTAGTGAAAACGTTGAATGTAAAACATAATTTTGTATTGAAAGATACGTCAGAAATTTTCCTACTATTTTTCAACCATTTAACATGTACATTTATTTTTAATATTTCTTATAAAAGCAAATTTAACAAAACTTTTCTCGTTTCATAAAAACTTCGTTTGTTTATTTTCAAAACACTATACACGTGAATTATCTTAAATTTTTTTATAAATTAAATAAAAAAAGTAATTAAAATTTTAAGAAGTGTAAATAATTTTTGAAAATAAACTAATTTTAGTACAATAATTACCTAAATGTGAAATATGAAACTAAATACTAGTTCGTTACGTCATTAAGAACTTAATTTACTATAAAATTGAATTTTACAGACAATTAGCTTAAGAGTTAATAAGCATGGAAAAAAACTTTTGGAATATTCATGTAATTTTTTACGTGATAAAACAAAGAATGTTTAAACGAAAATACTAACTTATTTAACAATTAAACAGCGTTAAAATTTAATTGGGTACCTACAGAGTTGAAAAATGAAAAATAAATGTGTGTTTCTTATGAAGATTAGTTTTTTAATTATTTAATTATTTGTTTTTTATAATTTATAATTTGTATGAACACACTAAGAATACTAATAAGTATATATGTGCAAAATATGAGCACACCTAAAAATTCAAATTCAGAAGTAATTAGATGTTAAATAAACAAAAAAAAGAACAAAAAAATAAAAAACATTTATTTTCAATTTTGAAAAATTCTTTTTGAAACAGCCATTAAATAATAACATCGTAAGCTATAGTAAGAGAAATAAGTAAATTTATATTCATTTTAAAGAATTAAACAGAAAATGCAAGAAACTACCAATTACAATTGTTCAATTTTGCTGATTCTGTGAGATTTCATTTTTTGTTTTGTTTATTTTTCTAAAGTACAAATTCCAAAATATGACCTAGCATTCTCTACATATTAATATTTTAATCATTTTTTTTCTTTTTTTTTTGTAATTATTTGGTAATTATTATAGTCTTTTATTCATAACAATAAAATTTAAATATTTTGTTTATGTATGGAATTCCAATAATAAAAACAATATTTTTAACTTTAGAAGAGAAAAGCAAGAAGAAACCGTTTCTTGATAATGAAATACTGAAAAATTCCACGAAAATTCTTGTAACAATAATTGTTTTCCATAGTTTTGAAAAACATTCATAGTTGAGAGAACTGCATTCCGATTATAAACACTTTCTTTTAATTGTAAGAGAAATTATTTTGCCTCTTCGACATTCAATAGACAGTATAATATAATAGACAATATAAGTTAATGCACCGGTTGAAAATCTTTAAAGAAAATTTTCATCAACACGTACATATACATATATAAATAAATTCGTTTAAAACAAATATGAATTCGAATGTCAAAATAAAAAATCTTATGTGGTCAGCACATAACCGACCGCGATGTATATTGTCTAAATTGGTGAAGGCATTCCAGAAGATTATGAAAATGCGTTTTAAACACTTCTTTACAATTTTAAGGGAATTAATAAGATTTTAGTTAACATACCTAGAAAAATGTGAATTTGGCTGTTATGTTGGCATTTTATGCCGTTCGGATTATACGAAAAATTAGTCAGTAACTTCTGGTAACAACCAGAGCTGAAATGTTAAATTTCAAGAAATCCCATCAATTCGATTCGCAGATATGGCAAAAGATGTAAAATCGGCCCCAAGCTCAGTTCAAAAAATTTACAGATTCATCGTTTTAACACCTTGAATTTGAATGAAATTTCAATGTAATCGGTTGATTATTTTTCGTTATATGCGCAAAAATGTATTTGGTCCGTAATAAACATCCAGTTGCTGACATCTAATTTCTTTCAAAAGTTAGGATGTTCCGCGTACGGTTAAATAAAGCTTATATATGAAATTTCAAGTAAATCTCTTGAATATTTTCTTCAAAATGATCAAAAATGTAAAACAGACCCGTTAAAAGTCCAGTTACCGAGGCCTGATATGTCCCAAAAGTTGATGAATCCATGCTGTAGTCGAAATGAACTTACATTTAAAATTTCAAAAAAATTTTAGCTATGACACGGATTTATTAATTTTTGGGATATGTCAGACTTCGGAAACTGAATCTTTTTTCGGGAAAGATCTGAACTAGGAAACCCAAATGGGGGCCGATTTTACATTTTTTACCATATCAGCGAAACAGATGATACTGACACGGATTTCTTGAAATTTGATATTTGAGTTCTGATTGTACCGAAATTAACTGGTAGACTTTTCAGAATTTGAACCGAAATTCTACACTTAGAGACATATTTACATTTTTTTAGATATGGTAACTAAAAGCTAGTAAGGTTAAATTGAAAAAAAACGTCCTTAAAATTTAAAAAAAGAAAGTGTTTAAAACGGTTGTGCTCACCACATCAGATTTTTTTATTTAACATCATTATAGTTTGTAAGAATCAGTTAAGGTAAAAGTTTACGCAGTTAACGTTTTTGCAATTTTTCGATGATAATTAGTTAAATTTCTTTTCTTATAAAAAAAAATTAATCAATAATATAAAAAAAAAGTCAACAGGTTTAATTACTTGTAATTAAATTGTGAATCCCGTTTTTCTTGCTATTTTCTTTTTAATTATTCATTTAACATTACAGGTACACAAGCATTCGCAAGAAAATTCTGGTTAATGAGTAACTTTTCTCACTTTGTATAAATAAACTGATGGTTGCGAAAATAATTGTAGCCACATAGGGACTACTATTGCTCAAAAATTATTTTGTTTAATTTTGTGTTGTTTTTCATTTTAGTCACTATCAAAGCACTCACTATCAGGTTTCATAATCGAAATTTCAGAAAATCATCTACAATTGATTAATTCTTATAAGTTCATAATATTAAGAAAGCTTGAAGAAAAAAATTACTATTTATTTCGAATAAAGATTATCAATTAAAAAAATTAATAACCAATATGATGGTCTGTTATCATTGTTTTTGTTAGATATATATGAACTC